ATAAAATAAAAAGTTTGATATATAGAGACTATTTCCGATTAATTTTAATAATTCTTAAGTGATCCTTCATTTATTGGAGGGCACTGTATTTTAATATATAAAATACACTAGCATTTTTAATCCCGAAGCATAGCCCGGGCTAACACGCTAGTCAAAACATATAGTGCGGATACTATTTCAAAATTTACTAATTCTCAGATTCAAACGATTATAGAACACTTCACCAAAAAGCCTGATATAGAATATACCGACGATAAGGACAATTCTTCAGATGATTTACCCGAAGCTGAGGTAAGTATACCTATTGATCAAGATTCGGAATTACCAGAAGCTTCGGTAAATGCATCTACTGGAACCGAGGTAAGCGAAGTAAGTGATACAAATGACAATGATAATAAACCACAATCTTTAATTACTGCTTTATCCGACGATGAGCCAGAAAATTTCTCTTTCTCCGATGACGATGAATTCACCAATGATAACGAAGAAGATGGAAGTTTCTGTGGTTTTTCTGATGACGATGATGAAGGTTATTATTATTATTTAAATACCGACGAAACTTATACAAAATCGAACCGTTCAATCTATGCCTATTAGATACAGAATTCCTTTCTTTGCAGACAATAGACATTTATAAACGATGCATTTATACCGACGTATCCGGCATCTGTGTGCATATATATTTTATTGTTACAATAAAGCAATTTTTTTTATTGCACATCGCATCGACGTTTTTGGTTCAAATTCGGTAAAATATTGCCCGTAGAAGTTTCATATCTGACACATAAAATCTATTTCGGGTGTATTATTGCGGAGCAATGAGGTTTCACCTCTACAAGTATATGATTTAATTTTCCGGTAATAGATATGCTATACCCATCACACAAGATATCAACCATAGTAAACAGCGTAAATTTTTTATTAATGAAGATTTTGATATTGATATCATTATGCATAGATCGTGATATGATATCACAATGTCACGTGACTACAAATAAGCTGAATATTATGAAAGTGAAAGTTTGGCTAAAACATAATCTATATCATCCTGGGAAATACTAGATAAGGTTACCACTGTAAAAGATCCATATCTAAACAATGCAATTTAAAATAGCGAACTGAACATGATACAAATCAATAGGAATGGGGTTAGGTAGAGATGATGGAATCACAAAATTAGATGGCATCCCAAAATAAAGGCAATTCAGTTGAACGTTGATAACATTTTGTCCAATCTGTGGGTTGATTTGATTTCCCTGACGGTCAACTGTTCCAAATTCGTGCTAAATAAAAATACCTTAAATTAACTTTTTACAGACTTAACTTTATGCTAAATAAAAAGTAGGTAATAATGTAACATACCATTGTAGGATCTAGTGCACCAGTAGCTGTTCGATTATTTATACAGTAATGCCAAGCCTATTAGGAATATAAAACATCAGACAGTGCCAAAGCAATTGATCAGGAATTGAGTCATGTCATTACTTACAGTCATTACTGACGGCCTTGTAGCTGGTGCGATAAGTTCCTCTATTTTAATCACAATAGCATCATGAGCTCGACCGCCTTGAAGCCAATAATTTTCTACTTTATTTTTGATATCCACTTTAGATTGTGCGTACGCAACCTCCACTACTAGATTCGGCCAGGGCTGGGTCTAAAAATGCAATGTCATTGTCAATGCCAGAAATTTAAAACAATTACATCAGGAAATGAACTAAGTCAGTAACTCTTCATACCCCACTTGTGTCACATCCGTTTCTATTCACTCGAGATTTTGCCATTGGTCGAAATGATGCGTCTGCCTCTTTGCCCGATCCTTGTGATTTTGTTGCTTTTATCCAGTTACACGTAGTTGGTAATGGAAAAATATTTGAAATCAAGAAAACCAAAAAAAGCACTCACTCATTGCTCCCAGACCAAGAACGCTTGCATTAGTACTTTTCACACCCCTAAGTGTTTCCATAATTTCATCGGCAATAGCACTAACACAACTCTCATGAAATATCGAGGGAAGTTCAATGACACGGATAGTCCCATTTTCCCATTCCCACCATCCATGAATATTGTGCCTATCCGTTTGTTCGACATAAGTATCATAAGGAATACCAGTAACAAGTTCGTATGGTAAACTTGATAATAAATAACAGCTGACATTAGCAATTGGCTCATAAAATAGCCAGTTGTCAAAGCAAATAGGAAGGAGACTTACGTAGCTTCCTCCCACCTGGCTTTCGGGTGCATGTTGCCAGTTTTCCACCAAAAAAAACGATATTTTTTTATTTCATCAGTCTCCTCGATACTAGAAATAGAAGTAGAAGAGGTGGTGGCGGTCTCCTGGGTCATACTTCTCCATGGAATAATAGAATCCGTATCAGTATCATTCCCGTATAAAGTTGCCATATTTAGTCATAAATATATGATGCATAGTTCACGTTACTTTATTACGTAGTATGGACGTCATTGCTTTACAATATTACATATAAAAAAAGTGCCAAACTTCGAGACTGTGACAGCCAGTCACGGTAGAGTTACATCGTAGTCACGTGACCATCGCATTTTACCCGGAATTAAGTTTGTCTAGTATTCTTCCTAACCTGTAATGCTACGTATTTGATATTTTCCGAACTTAAATTTGAAATCGATGGTGCAGTAAAAGTTTTTATTCGCTGGATATATGTCACCCGTTGAACTTTATCACCACCAATTCGAAAAAAAAGATCATATACTTTTCTAGCTCTTTCTGTTTTCTTTCGGAATGCATGTTTAGTAACTTCTTTTGGGAGCTGATCTTTGACTTCTTCGTTGATTTTCTTCTGGGCCTCATGTTCTTCCATAGATTGTTTATACTCGGAAAGGCGTTTTTCCAGTTCCTCTCCAAAAAAATAATATGCTCTTAAGACTTCATGACGTGCATTATCGCTATGCTCCTCAGCCTTGGATATTTTTAAATATAGATCGAAAAAAACTCGGGAACCCTCAACTTCTCGTACAGATTCTTTGTGAAGACTTTTTTTCTCCCTAATCTCAGAAATTCGAGTGGTATCGGAAGATAATTCCCGGATAAGCCTTTTTAGCACGATTGAGTCTTCATCTTTAATCACTTTCTTATCTTTTTTATTGGAGGAATTTTCGGTTGATACATCCGTAGCTTCATTGGTCCTCTTTTTACCTGTCGATCGGATTGGGTTTCAACTTGAGATTCCTTTTCCTTCTCTTCTTCCCCGTCCTCATCCCTATCATTCATATCCACGTCTTGATCCTGGGACGAAGTTTTTTGAGAACTAAATCCAACGTTACGGGTAAATTCATCAGCCAGATTCGAAGTACCACTTATTTCAGAAGATACAGAGTCTCGTCGTTGGGCTTCATCAATAAGCTCGACATTTTTTCCACACTTAGGGAAGGGACATGTATTTGGTATGGTAAGCAGAATTTTTTTCTCAATAGTTAATTAGAATTATAAAGAAGTTTGTCAACTAAAATTTTGAGCTATGGTGCTTTAAATTAATTGAGCCATTCAAAACTTGTAGGCATTTTGAAGAAAATAATAATATACTATATAAATATATAATAATAAACTTATACTTACTATCTAATGGTTTAATAAGAAAATATGTTATAAAATCGATTAAAGAAATATTGACTTTAAACCAGTTTCAGTATAACAAAACTTATACTCACAAGCTAATTTTTTAATAAAACATAGATTATAAATCGATTAGAGAAATATCTTTTTAAAGACAATAATACATTAAAACTTATACTTACTGGCTGAATGGTTTATAAAATAGATGGATTATAAACCGATTAAAAGTGAATGAAACCTTATTTTAAATAATGACAATAACTTCTTCTACTGACAGGCTAGTTATTTAAATAAAACAAGAGTTATACATCGATCGGAGAAAATATTTTAACTTAGTGAAACATACTTACCGGCTACAGTATTAGTTAAATAAAGGAAATATAAAATTAATCGGGAAAATGTTATTTAAATGGTAAATATAATAAACTAACACTTACCGACTAATAATTTAATTTAATAAATAGATAGATAAATATTGTTTTAAAGAAATTAGAACAAATATACAAAGACTAAACCTACCGACTAGTAGTTAATATAGATAATAATAAAATCGATTAATGATATTGTATGCTGTTTTAATAACAGGTGTAATAAACATGTACTCACCAGCTAATAATTTGACAAAATAGTTAAGTTATATACTGCATCAATAGACAAACAATAAAACAAGATATAATTATTAAAAATCATACTCACTGACTAATAATCGAATAAAGTACATATTTAAAAAAGTTGATTAAGAAATATTCTAAAAAAATAAATATAATAAAACTCGTACAAACCGTCTTATTAAAGTTTGATGAGATAATGTATTGTAAATCGATTTAAAAAATGGTTTTTTTAAAAAAAGAAAAAAATAGTAATAATGATAACAAAACTTATTAAGCTTTTACCTACATTCTAATAATTCGATACAAAACATATAGGTTATAAGTCCATATAAATTTGTTTAAAAAAAAGCAAATGATAATTCTTCTACTTACTAGCTATAATGTTAACAAAATATATTGTGAATAAATTAGGTATTATTCTAAAAAACAAATCATCAAAACTTATACCATTGTTGTGGGAACAATCGGGATAGGAACACGATATTGTGACGCGTCGCGCAACAATAAGTATTGGTGATGGTGGAATG